GTATCCATCTGTCCTGTGCCGAGTTGCCGAGTTTCTCACAACTGTATTCATCTGTCTGAACCTGAGGTTCTCACAACAGTATCCATCTGTCTTGTGTTGAAGTTCTGGAACTCGTTAGAAATGCAAATTTTGGGGCCCCAGCCCTGCCGCACCAGAAAATCTAGGTGTGGGGCTCACCTACTGTGTGACACCTAATTTAAAAGATTTACCTGTTGCTGTCATGTCCATTCCAACTCATGGTGACCCCATGTATTGCACAGTAGAACTGTGCTCCATGGAGTTTTCATGGCTGTGATCTTTTGGAAGCAAATTGCCAGGTCTTACTTCTGAGGCACCTGTGGGTGGGTTCAAACCACCAACCTTTCTGTTAGTAGTAGAGCACTTAACTGTTTGCGCCACCAGGAAGCCTACTGAAAAGATCAGGGAAACTCTTGAGAGTGGGGACTTACGCTGAAATATTTACTTCTGTGAAAAATCAACCCAAAGTGATGGGCTTATGTCACACTCCCTCCACTTCCGCCCCCCAAACTCACAGCGGCCTTCCCAGCCTCCTGCCTCCTTCTGAAAAGGAAGATTCCCCAGCCTGCCCACTGAGGCCGAGTTCTCCAAAGCCCCCACGCCCCACCCCGCCAAACACCTCTGTTTTCTTCTAGCACTCCTGGAGTCATTTAACTCGACACAGCGTCCGGGGCAGAAACGAGAGATGGCCGCTAGGGTTAGCCTCTGAGAGAAAACCTGACAGCGCTGAGGAAATCCACGGAGACCCGGACATCTGGGCGAAGTTCAGAAGGACTGGGCATGCTCAGCCCTGAGCAATGTCACCGTGGGGACGCGCGGTTACAGTTTTCTGACACACGAGGAATGCACACAGGAGAACAGATCCGTTTCTGCACTCACCGGTGAGAGCACAGCTGGCAGGAAGGGCTTAGGTTGCAGCTGGGAAAGTAATGTCACATGTTGGAGACACAGGAGCAGAGGAGCCACCAGAGACACTTGGATGAGATCACAGGCCGGGGGCGCTATCCATCAGGCAGTCACATCGAGGGTGCAGGACGAGCAGGACCTGAGGCCCGCTAGGCTCCGCACAGGGGCCCCTGGTCTCCTGGGGAGGTGGGGATGGGCAGGGCAGGGGCCGACTCGGGGAACCCAAGGGGCCCTGTATAACTCTGCGAGACATCCCAGTTCCCTGTGTCACCTAGAGGCATTGACTCCTTCCCTACAGCTGACACCTGTCCTCCTGGCAGCAGCACCATCACAGCAGTAAGACAGCCCAGCTGTTGACCATGAGCTCCAAGCCAGCACGGTCCACACATCGCCTCACTCACACCTCACGATCATCACAAGGCCCATTTTACAGATGAAGAAACTGAGGCTCTGAGAGCGCTACTGACCTGCCCATGGCCCCACTGTCGCTGTGTCTGGAATGAGATTTGAGCTTGGGGTCCTCTGATTTCAGAGCCTGTGCTCAGGATCCCACCTCTACATTGCCAGGGATGAAGTATGGACATTAGTCGGCTAATGAGGAACTGATCCAATGTGCCCCCCCAACCCCCCTGGGGTCACCTTTACCTGGGTGACAGGCTGGCTCCTTGATACTGTTCAATAGAATAAAAATGATCCACTGCATCTCCTCTCCCACCACCTTGCCTGCTGCTCCAGGTTTGATAACATTTAAAATCAAGTGTCTCCAGAAGACCCCTCCTTCTGCCCCATCTCTGCTACCCCACACCTTGTCCTCAGGACTCCACCACAAGCTTTGACGGACTCACAGGGCTGCTGGCAGCGTGGGTGGCTTCACATACCACCACCCACTCCAAAACAGGTATCAGCATGGGCGCTCTACCACAGCCTGTCCCGCCACTAACAGGCACGTGTTTCTCATATCCACGCGACACTGTCCTCAGAGGGACCCTCAGTCAGGACTGCGTGAAGGCCAGTGCAGTTACAGGGGAAGTCGCATAGATACTGTTATGACGGCTTCAGACAACCCTGGATGTGACTTCTATCCCGCCTTCTCTCCAACGCAATTCTAGGCTAATCTGGCTTCTCGTTTGGCCTCTTTCTGGGATCCTGGAAACGGCTGAAGTGATTTCCATCAGACTTGAAGAAGAGCCAGCTGTCCTCAGCACTTTGACACACTGTCTCCATCAGGGGGCTCTCCGGGTGCCTCATTCGCCAGGAGTTTCTCCCAAGGGACCCGCTGGGCCGCTGCCTAGCAAGGACTTCCCTACGGAACAACCTACCCCCCCTCCTTTAAAAGCCACCGCAAAGCAAGCACAGGGCCACGGGCCCTTGGGCGAATGGAAGGTCACTTGCTAGTTACCGTGTGTGTGTTCACAGTGTCACAGCTGTCCACACTTGGGAGGAGGGCAGCCTGTGTCAGAAAGCCTGGTCAGGGCAACTGCCTGTAAAGTGTGACAGACTCAGCAGAAGGGAGCGCCGTTCGGACAACTGCGTACTGATGTCGGATCTGGGGTCAGATGAATGAAAGTTATTCCTTCTTGATGGAAAAGCTGGATTCAAGCCATGCATGTATATTCATAAGGAGCCTTAATCTCCCAGCTCAGTGGAGCTTCAAGCAGGCTGTTCCCTCATGGACAGAGACAGAGAGGCCCAGAGAACGAGACATGGCTGAACCGTTGAGGGGGACGGGGCCCAAAGCTTTTCCGTCCATCTGCTCCTTCCAACCCAGTACACAGGAGGGCAGAAGACAAGACAAGGCAGAAACCACTTCTGGAAGTCTGGCTTCATGACCCCCAACCTGCGGTGAAGAATGTCACGCCCAGAACAGCCACGTGAAGACACACCCTCCCCAGTGAACTCAGCAAGACAAGCCACCCTTCAGCCACATGAGGCAGCTCTAGCTGATGTTCCAGCAGGTGTCTGTTCTGAACACGCATCTCCCTGGGTTACCTTTTCTGGCTCTGCTGCCACATGCCCATCTTGCATCCACTGTGCTCAGCAGCACACCTCTGGGATGTAGATGGAGAGGACTAGGTACACGGTTCCAACAGGAGTAGAGAAATGCGCTCTGTGTGTGGCCAGCTGGCACTGTCCAGCATCTCCCAGTAACCGCAGCCTCATAACACCAACCGTGGCTCAAGAAGCGCTGGCTCCTGAAATTGTCAGGCATCCCTGGAACACGCAGAGAACAAACAGTGAGGTGAATCAGAATCAGGGTCAACTACCGTCATGGCGCCCATGACTTGCAGCGTCACAGCTGATCAGGAAGGGGTCAGCACGGCCAGCACTGCATTCAGTCTTTCACTCTCTTCCCAATAGGTGAGTGGTACCGTCCATCTGGAGCCACAGAACCAAACCTACGGTGGGGCAGGCGGGGGCAGAAAAGAGAGGTCGAGGTTAGCAAAAACGAAAGAGATGGAACCCCACTAGCAGTGAAGCCTGGGGGCTCACACGTGCACACACAGGCTGCTACATCCTGGAACCCCTCCCATGAGAAAGACAGCAGAGTAAGAGGTCTCCCTGGAGATGCCAAGAAAGGCCTGACACACGGAAGGTACGGGCTTCCCACCACCACCAGCCCGCAGCCTCAGCATTGGCCCCACAAAGCGAAGCACGAGGCCCATCATCATTAAACCAACACCAGAGCCTGAGTGTGCAGGCTGCAACCAGCCTATTCTTCTTTGAGATACAATTCACACACCATAAAGTTCACCCTTCTAAAGTATACAATTCAATATAGTTTTTAGTATGTTCACAGATTTGTGCAACCATCACCGCTATCCGATTCCAGAACATTTCCATCACCCTAAAAGAAACCCTGTACCCTGTAGCAGCCACACCCCTTTCTCCGTCTCCCCTTGGCCCCCAGTAACCACCAACCTGCCTTCTCTCTATGGACTTGCCTATTCTGAGATTTCACATAAATGGAATCACACATGCGGCCTTTTGTGTCTGCCTCTTCTCACTTAGCGTAACGTTTTCAGGGTTCATCCACGTCGTAGCTTGTATCAGTACTTCACTCCTTCTTATGGGTGAACCATAGTCCGTTGTATGGATATACCATACACCAAGTTTTCTTTAGTCATACATCAGTTAATGAACATATGGGTTCTTTCTACTTTGGGGCTGTTAAGCATAATGCTGCTATGAACATTTTGTGTACAAGTTTTTGTGTTTTTTGATTCTTTTATAGAAAACGCTTTCATATATACCTACGAGTGAAATTGCTGGGCCATACGGTACTTCTTTGAAAAACTGCCCCACTGCTTTCTAAAGCACTACACCATCTCACATTCCCACCAGCAGTGTGTGAGGGTTCCAGTTTCTCCACCAACACTTGTTATCCTCTTTTTTATCGTGGCCATCCTAGTGGGGGTGAAGTGGTGTATCACTGTGGTTTTGATTTGCATTTCCCTAACGACTAGTGTGGAGTCCTGGTGATGCAAGGTTAAGACCTCAGCTGCTAACAAAAAAGTCGGCGGTTCGAATCCACCAGCCACTCCTTGGAAACCCTATGGGGCAGTTCTACTCTGTCCTATAAGGTCACTATGAGTTGAAATCAACTCGACGGTGACAGGTTTGGTTTTGGGTAATGACTAAAGAAAGGAACTGTGGCGGAGCAACAGTTAAGCACTCAGCTGCTAACCAAAAGGTGAGCAACTGGACCCCACCCAGCGGCTCCACAGGAGAAAGACCTGGTGATCTGCTCCTGTAAAGATTACAGCCTAGAAAACCCTATGGGGCAGTTCTACTCTGTCACAGGGAGTGGCTGTGAGTCGAGAATGGACTTGACAGCACCTAACAACAAGTAATGATGCTGAGCATCTGTTCACATGCTCACTGGCCATCTGTGTATCTTCTTTGGGGAAATGTCCATTCAAATCCTTTGCCCATTTTTAAATCGGGTTGTTTGTCTTTTTACTGTTGAGTTGTAAGAGTTTTTTGTACATTCTGGATACTAGATCCTTACCAGATCCACGATTTCCAAACATTTCCCTCCATTCTGTAGGCTGTCTTGCCACTTTCACAGTAGTGTCCTTTGATGCCCAGAAGTTTTTCATTTTGAGAAAGTCCAACTTACCTATTTTTTTTTTTTTTTTGTTGCTTCTTTTGATGTTATACCTTAGAAATCAGTGCCTAATCCAAGGTCACAAAGATCTACAACTATGTTTTCTTCTAAGAGTTTTAGTTTTTACATTAGGTCTTTGATCCACTTGGAGTTAACTCTTGTGTATGGTGTGAGGTAAGGGTCCAATTTTATTCTTCTGCATGTGGAGATCCAGCTGTCCCAGCACCATTTGTTGAAGACTGTCTTTCCCCACTGAATGGTCCTGGTACCCTTATCAAAAATCAACTGACCATAAATGTTGAGTTCATTTCTAGACTCTTCGTTCTATTCCACTGATCTATGTATCTATCCTTATGCCGGTACCAGTGTTGATTACTGCAGCTTTGTCGTAAGTTTTCAAAGCAGGAAGCGTAAGTCTTTCAACTTTGCTCTTTTTCAAGATTGTTTTGGCTATTCTGGGTCTCTCACATTTCCATACGAATTTTAGGGTCAGTCTGTCAATTTCTGCAAAAAGCTGTCTGGGACTCGGACAAGGATTACATTGAATCCATACATCAATTTACCAGCCTATTTCTGACCAGGTGATGAAGCAACACCCAGCACTGGGGCTCCTCCCTCAAACCTCAAGCAAAACCCCTGTGCTGCCGCTGCTGCTCTGTGGTGTTTGTGGGGACAGCTTCCATGGCAACTGAGAGGCTTTAGCGCCAAATCTGGCTTATCAAAGACTCTCCGTCTCTTGCCTATGCTCTACAGACAATGAGGCACACTCATTTTGCGTTTTGGTTGAGTCTGGCTTTCTAACCCTGAGGTGTGGATGAATGCGAGGCCACCAGTGGCAGCCTCTGGCCACCCAGATCTCACTGGAGAGGGTGAGGTGTGGACACAGCCCTATAGCTGTGCTTCCCCCTGCCCCACAATCTCTTGGAGTAATGCCAACAGACAAGCGACCAGGAGATGTACAGGCACCCAGGGAAGGCTGGCGGTCCTCAGTCCCTGCTGTCATGGGCACTGGTGGCCCCCGGGGGGCCCAGGGGCTTCACCACCCAGCAGGATAACCGCGAGGATGCTGTTGAGGCTTCTGTTAGTTTCCTGCCTGTTCACGGGGGAGGGAGAGTTAACAAAGAGAATTTGGTCCATTTGAAGTTAGTTTCTCATACATTTTTCTTAAACTGTTGGTATCTGCTACCACATTTGCCCACTGGCAAGAACTTGCAGACAACAGAAAGGACTGAAGTGTTAAAGGAAAGTAGGCAGGGAGCATGGGCACAGCTGACGATGTGCAGCCTGACGGCTCGCTTTTCAATAGACTTAAACATGGCTGTAGTCCAGGGTTTCACTGCACGTGTGAAATGCTGCTCGGAAAATTAAAGATAACTGGTATTTCTTAGCTTCTGCAAAGAGCACCTGGGACCCCTGGAGCTCCACCCTCAGAACGCCCTTGAGGAACCAACCTTCACCTCATGGTTGAGCCCACCTTGACCTCACTACTGTGACGCCAGGAAAGGCCACTTTTCACTTCTGACAGTATCCATCCAAGTAACAGTGGTCACAGCAGCCTCAGACGCTGCGAGGCGGTGCCTTATCCCCGCCACCCACAAAGGAGGCGAAAACACTAATCGGTTTGTGTTGTTGTTGTTGTTGTCAAGCTGCTGTTCAGGCGCCCCCGACTCGTGGCGACTCCACGTACAACAGAATGAAACACTGCTCGGTCCTGCGCCATCCCCATGAGTGGCTGTAGATCAGACAATGATCTGTTGTGATCCACAGAGTTTTCGTTGGCTGATTTTTGGAAGTAGATCGCCAGGCCTTTCTTTCTAGTCTGTCTTAGTCTGGAAGCTCCACTGAAACCTGTTCAGCATCATAACAACATGCAAACCTCCACTCACAGACGGGTTGCAGCTGTGCCTGAGGTACATTGTCTGGGAATCAGTTTATAATAGCAAAAAGAGAGAGAGAAAAAACCACCTAAATGCCCAAAAATAAGGAACTGCTTACATAAATTACAGGACACTCATTTAACAGTCTGTCACGGTGTTATTAACAATGATAATGTGTGTGTGTACTTGCATCATTGCATAAAAACATTTGATGGAGAATGCTAAACAGAAATAACCAGTTATACAAAATAGACTCTACACGTGCATCTCCTCTGGCAAATATTAAGCCTCTCTCTCTCTCTGTCTCTCTCTCTCTCTCTGTCTCTCTCTCTCTCTGTCTGTCTCTCTCTCACACTCTCTGTCTCTCTGTCTCTCTGTCTCTCTCTCTCTGTCTCTGTCTCTCTCTCTCTGTCTCTGTCTCTCTCTCTCTCTCTCTCTCGGGGGATCAGCATGTGGGAGATCCAGAGAGATACACAGTCACGTGTAACAGCCAAACAGCATTTTGGATCATTTTAGGTTTGTGGTTTTTTTTTTTTTTTTTTTTTTTCCTATTTCTTATCTATACTTTCCAATAAGTTCTCAATAACCCTGTAGACGTGGTTAGGGGACACAACCTGGACGTGGAGCCCAAGATGCCAAGAACCAGGCCAGCTGAGAGAGCAATGAGATCACATACCCAGTGAACCAGAGGTAGGAGAAAAGGACTCACCTATCCAGCAGGTTCTCCCTTGGCACCTGGACCTTGTCAAATACTAAGATCCCATTGTCCACACCATGCAGACCTAGAGAGAAGAGAAATGAAATGGAGCCACAAGGAGAATATCTATGCCATCATCAGAAATATTGTCCCTCCAAATTGCTGGTCTGAGGGCTGTGGGGACCACGGTCTCAGGGAGCATCTAGCTCAACTGGCATAACATAGTTTGTAAAGACAGGGTTCTACGTTCTACCTTGGTGAGTAGCATCTGAGGTCTTAAAAGTCTGTGAGCAGCCATCTAAGATACTCCACTGGCCTCACTCCATCAGGAGCAAGGGAGAATGAAGAAAGCTAAAGATACAAGAGAAAGATTAGTCCAAAGGACTAATGGACCACAACTACCACGGCCTCCACCGGACTGAGTCCAGCACAACTAGATGGTGCCCGGCTACCACCACTGACTGCTCTGACAGGGATCACAATAGAGGGTCCCAGACAGAGCTGGAGAAAAATGCAGAACAAAATTCTAACTCACAAAAAAAGACCAGATGTACTGGCCTGACAGAGACTGGAGAAACCCCGAGAGTATGTCCTCCAGACACCCTTTTAGCTCAGTAATGAAGTCACTTCCAAGGTTCACCCTTCAGCCAAAGATTAGGCAGGCCCATAAAACAAAATAAGACTAAAGGGGCACATCAGCCCAGGAACAAGGA